ATAAATGGACTGGACCCTTGATGCATGTGCTTATGACGTAGATAGGGACAAGGGCGGAAAAGCGGAAAAGCGGAAAAAGTGGAAGCCTCCCAACACGTGATGACGCGAGTCTCACTCATGTATCTTTGTACAGCTACCCGTGATCCAACCTGTTAACAGGTGTTTGATATTGGCATTGTGTGAATCTGTCTTCAGTCTCGGCGAATATACAAACCAGTCCATTGAGACATGGGAAGAGAGCCAACCAGCGCCAGTTGCCATACATGTCGTCGTCGCCGGATCAAGTGCGACAAGGAGAAGCCGTCGTGCGGTCAGTGCCAAAAGTCTCAGCATGAGTGCTTGGGATATGAGAGGATCCTCCGAATCCAAAGCCATGGAGTCGGATCGAGCAAACAACCTGGCCGTTCAAGCTTGGTCAAAATAGGCCAATCGGGGTCCTATCCCACCAAGGAAGAGCCAATCCAAAATGACGACAATACTCAACTTCATGGCCATGATCGAGGCGGGAGATGCAGACAGAAGAGCCCCCAGAAGCGGCAGATCACCGACAACGCTTCACCAACAGCTGCAACACCACAATCACAGAATCTCCATACTCACCTACCGCAACCCCTGATCAGCCAGAATATTCAACTAAGCCTGGACCCATTCATCGACAACATCGCCTTCTCCTACTTTTTCGATGCCTACAGCTGGATCAATATTCACAGCATCTTCCTTCAGGATACCCCGATGCGCCAGCATCTCACTGAGCAGAGAGACGAGCTGGGCTATGATAGCCTTCGTGCGCTGGCATATGGAATCTTTGGTCGGGATCACCAAGTCCAAAGCCTGCAACGAAAAGGCGAGCGGATCTACGGCGCAGCTCTCCAGAAGTTGCAAGCAAAGCTCATCACAGCATCCAAACCGGAGTTGGCAGCTCTCATTAAGCCCATATCCGTCATGGGATCGTATGCGGTGAGTTCGGGTGACATCTCCCACATATCCACATATGGGGACTCTGTCATATATGCCGGGGCATAAATGACAATTTGCAAACGCTAATCATGCATTTGCACAGATTGCCGTCGATTCCGATCTCCGCTTTATTCACCATCAAGGGCTGGCTCGTATTCTAGAACATTGCGGGCCGGAATACTTCCAAGACCCTTCGATTCTACCCGTATTCGAGTCTTGTAGATTCACAATGGTGAGCTTCCACGACAATCCAAACTCCCGATACTTGCACCCAACGCCATACTGATCAATTTTCACAGCTTGCCAATGCGCTGGTTCAAAGGCAGGGCACGTTTCTCGATCAGGAGCGGTGGAGGACAGTACCATGGTCCATGTGTCCCGAGACAAAGACTGCCACAAATAAGCTTCTCGACATAATCTCCAGTCTTCCCGCCCTCTTCCAAAAGACTGACAAAGTTCTCAATGAGCGCTCTCAATGGGTCGCGGGTCATTCGGGCATCATTCGCGAGGAAACTTCAAGCACAGTTTCGGATCTGCAAGCGCAGCTAGAGTCCATGCTCTTGGATCTAATTGCGTGGCGCTATCACTGGTCCCTGGATAACTTCCCAACGGCGCAGAATATCCTCGATTGGGCATTGTTTCGAGTCAGCGACGAATCATATCGCCCTGGCATCTCCCAAGTTCAAGGCCCAGACGTGTATGGGTTGAACCTCGGCACGATCATTGGCCTAGACATTCCTTTCGGGTTAACCAACGATGCTCACAAACATCTTGATGCGAATTCCAATACTTTTGCTTTGATGCAAGAGGCTGCCCTATACATAACGGCCCTGATTACCATCGAACGACTGCAGAAAAACCTCGCCGGCGCCGCTCGTGCCACAGACGCGATTGACTTTTATAACGCGCCCTTTTTCTCTACATGCCGATGCTACTTTGACAATCCCGGGCCATCGAGACTTTGTCAAATATTTCCGGAGCCAAGCGACAACATCAGCACCGCTGCGTCGTGGAACATTAATTCTGCAAGAATAGCCGAGTCTCCCATCAGATCATTAAGCGGCGACAGCATTGGAGCTTCTACCAAGCCGACAGCTCATTCACCCCACCAAGACTCCATCTTGGACGCCACAGGAACGATGCTTCTACCTGGAGATGGCCGCTTCTCTGCACAGCTGCGCATCTTGAATTGGCTGATTAAACATCTGCCAGAAAGTCGAGCCCATGTTTTAGGCACGCTCGCCGCAATGGGGCTGAGTCACTGCGTCCACGACGTGCGCCCATCGGAGGGGAATGAGTATATTGCCGACACCGTCCGTGAGACCATGATGAAGTCGAGATTTGGAGATGCGGCGGAAGTCTTGCTGAAGAGATACCGGTGAGCTCCTCAAGCTGGCTGCACCTGAGACGGGCAGGAATGCGACTCTCAACGGATGGTGATGCCGAGTCTTGAACTTTTACAACTATCACGACGCCAGCGGACCAAGTTGCCATGAGACCAAAACCTTCTGTCAATGTGGCACAGTCTTTTACTTTTTTTTTTCCCGCATAAACATGGCAAAACATGCCTCGCATACTGTCTAATCACACCTGCCTTGAACTTTACGGATTTCTATCGTTGTAATTCCACAACGATCCATCAAATTGACTTTCCCGTTGCCTATATAACAACTGGATCTCTCCGCCTTCATCCACGCCCGTGGATTCTCCCCGACAATATTAAACGCGTTAGATGGATCGACATCTAAAGCTACTACGACCTTTTCACGCGCCAAGATGACACATGCACATATTCGCCATCACCGTTTGCTTGGGTGGGGTCTCGATCAAGATGATGTACAATCTGACGATGAAGAGTTTGAAGAGCTCCGTAAGTCTCTCTAATCGCCTCTAATAAGAATATTCTAACTGTTTGATCAGCCATCATGAGGGGAATGCAGCCTGTTGGTACGTCATTTCATAACATGGCATGGAAGACGGTGTTTACCGACCAATCGTATTTTCGCGTCTAACCATGCTGCTAGGGAGCCGCTTCTATGAAGGTGCAAATGTCTACAGGTTCTTTGACGCGTCAGGTAATACCCGCTGCTGGTGCCGATTAGTAGAAGACCGGTGGAGCCCTCGACTCACTGTGGATGAGGCAGAGAGAGCCGTCCGCGAATTGATAAGACAAGGCTTGATGGAGGATAGCCAGGATTTATTCATGTGGTGGGCGACTACAAACGCTCAACGTGAGATGAATCAACGTCGGGAGAATCAGCGTCAGGAGAATCAGCGTTAGGAGAATCAGCGTTAGGAGAATCAGCGTTGGGAGAATCAGCGTCAGGAGAATCAGCGTCAGGAGAATCAGCGTCAGGAGAATCAGCGTCAGGAGAATCAACAGGGATGATTCCTCTATTCTTTTGGAAGGATTCTTCATCACTATTATTTCGATGGACATACTTGAGTTACTAGTCTCATAGTTCAAACGTTGAAGATATTGTGTTTATGAGATGACGGTGGATTGCGAGTAATGGATCGGATGCAACCCACAATGGAATGGGGCTTTTGCCCTGGAGCTACGGAAACTTGGATAAGCCAATGTAGGGATGGCTTTCGGAGCTTATTCCAGCCATGCTGTGAGCACTCCGTATTATCTTTGTGACAACCATCTGGAACATGAAAGAGAGCTAACAGTTCTGGTGTATTTGCTCTTTTGGATGCAAGATTTGACAAACGGAAGCAAAAGTAGAAGCCATTTTGTAAAAGAGGTGGCCAGAAAGCTGCTACTGGTCTCTGACCTTTTGGGTATCTATGTAGATAGGCAAATATAAACTTTCATGCGGCACATTATGCTCATATCAGAGGTACTGAGTAATGTCCATCTCTACAGGTAGCTAGGTACAAGTATGAGAGTATTAGAGACCTATAGGTACCCAGTAGGTACTAATATACGTAATACGTCTGTGGGCATATTTTATAGTTCAAAGCAATGTTGAAAAGGGGGACTATGCACATCAAGATGCTTCGGGTACTATCTTGTTACCCTCTCAAGCGGAGGACAGAAAAACTGAGGCTGGGAAAGATTTTAAACACCCACGAGTTAAACTATACGCTTATAAAAGAAGTAGCTGCTATATCTACATTTCCTAGGTAATAACTACTAGTATATTGTGACGAACCGGGTCCTATAGGTCAGTATAGGTTAGCTGTTTCCAAGGGACAAACCTCAGAATGGTTCTAGGGTTTATGTTGGCGGAGCGGTCAGGTCGGTAGACGGGCAATCTTGTCACTAGCTGTAGATGAAGTGTCTGAATGTTCAATCTGATTGCTATGGTGATAACAACTGGCTATCTAAGTATTCTAATGAGTGACATGAAGTGAACTTATATATCCAGTCGTGTATTCTGGATCGTATGGGAAAGCTGGCTTTCCTAGCTTTCCTGCAATGGATTATTTGGAAAGCTGGCTTTCCTAGCTTTCCTGTCGTGGAACATCAACAATCCTAATTGGTTTGTCGGTCCATAGTTAATCCGGTTCCGGCCAACCTGTTGGCCCGTTGTCGCGACCTTAAGAGCTGGGTCGTGACATATATTTATATTTCCCTATTATATTTATATTTCCCTATTATATTTATATTTCCCTATTATATTTATATTTCCCTATTATATCTATATTTTTCTAGTAACTACTATTATATTTATATAATCAAGCTCGGGTACTGGCTGAATAGGCGTTCTACGGGTTAGCTAAATGCTTATATTACATACACGTATTCATTTTGCGGTCTTGCCTTTTCTGATCTTCGCTTGCCTGTCTACGTAGCATCATGTTTCTGACGTGCAGTAATATTTCTGCACAAAATTGTTCATAGAATTGTCATCAACTCATGAGAGTTGACTTGTATATATCTGCCGTCAGACTGATCGCCAAGGAAGATACTTGGCTGGCTATTATGACTTTAAATTATACTAGTTGCTAGTACTTTATGCCATGAGATGACGAGTAATCAAGATGCGCGCTGCAAAACGCTCTCTTCCCAGTCTCAGTAACCCAACCAAATATCACGTTGCAGCATCTTGTACTCTGTGGCACGTTACTCCTCAGTCAAAGATGCCCATTCCCGACTAACTCGCAAAGCACTCAGTAGCTTTTCGTAGGAACTGTTGGAGTAGCCACTGGTATCAATCTACAACTAGTTAGCCGCAAAACAAAAGAATAGTTTACATGTAGCCATCTCGGAAGCTTACTTACCGTGATGAGCTTTCCGGCCTGCTCGTAGTAAGCAAGTAGAGAGGGGTTCAATTCTTGAAACTCGGCATATCTCTTTCTGAAAGTCTCGGCATTATCTCCTTCGCGGCCTTGCTTTCTCTGGAGCACTCGAGCTTCGGCGCTTTCTTTGGGGCAGTCGAAGAACAGAACTACGGTAGGATGTTGAAACTGGCACAATGTTAGAAACGTAGCCAATCGCCTCACGAGTTTGAATCTGCAAGACGTACTTGTTGTTCGAATTCCTTTGCTTGGTCGAGGTGTCGAGGAAAACCATCCATGATGGTAACGCCGCCTGAATCAACGTGTGGCTTCAGGATGGGGAAGAGCATCTCTGTAGTCAAGAGCTCTCCGCGTCGAACATACTCGACAACTGTGTCATCTGCATTTGGCGATACCACAATTTGTCGTAAGAGATCTCCTATGGACAGATGCCTGAATCCATACTTGCGGGCGAGCTTTTTGGTGAGCGTTCCCTTTCCTGCTCCAGGAGCACCTAATGGAGACGCGTTAGCTTGCACAGACAGTTGTATATCGATTTGACTTACCAAGCACAAAAACTACTTTTCCCTTGACAGAATCCATGATGATCTTGTAGAGGTTGAAGTCGAAGCACACCGCTATCTGGGATCGATGCTCCGTTTGTGTATGAGGGGAAAGAAGTGGTGTTACAATAGGGCACGGGTAGCCGTTGCTCTCTTTAAAAGCGGGTAGAAAATTCGTTTGTTATGCCAATTTTTCTCTTCCCTTTTACACTTTATTCACCTTAGGCCAACTGTAAGAAGTCCAAATTGTCTAGTCAACCAAATCTAACGCCTTCAACATGGATCTCTCCATCTACATTCTAATTATCATCGTTACCGCCATATTCTTTATTGTCAAATGGCACGTTCGCTCTGGACAGGCTCCAGTGTCTGTCAATTATCATTTCACACGCAAGTGTAACAAAGATTGCCTTTTTTGTTTCCACACGGCAACCACTTCTCATATTGAAAAGCCAGAGAATGCCAAGAGGGGATTAACCCTCCTCAAGCAAGCTGGGATGAAGAAGATCAACTTCGCTGGCGGAGAACCATTCCTCTACCCAAAGTTTCTGGGAGAGATGATAGATTTCTGCAAAGACGCTCTTCAACTCGAATCTGTCTCTATTGTTACCAATGGAAGCTTGGTCAAGGAACCATTTCTTGAGAAACATGGTCGCAATATCGACATTCTGGCCGTTAGCTGCGATTCGTTCGACGAAGCTACAAACATGAAAATTGGACGAGGATCCGGCAACAACGTTCGCAAGTTGTACGAGATTGCTTCTTGGTGCCAAAAATATAACATCAAGTTCAAGCTCAACACAGTTGTGAACAGGTTCAACCATTTGGAAGACATGAACGAGCACCTCAATGTGCTTCAGCCATTTCGATGGAAATGCTTCCAAGTGCTCATTGTGGCTGGAGAAAATGATTCCGACAAGACCCTTCGCAACGCTCACAATCTCACCATTTCCGACGACGAATTTGATCGCTTTTGTGAACGGCATGCCAACCAAGCCTCTCTCGTCCCGGAGCCCAATCGACTGATGGCGAAATCCTACCTCATACTTGATGAATACATGCGGTTCTTGGATAGAAATGGCCAACAGCCGTCAAAGTCCATCTTGGAAGTTGGTGTGCAGCAAGCTTTGCAAGCCGTGTTTTGGGATGAAGAGGCATTTGTTGAACGCGGAGGGGTCTACGATTGGAACAAGTCATCCTGTTCCTCGGACAACAAAGAGCTAGACTGGTGAAGGAGTCAGTTCTATAAGAATTGTAATTGATCGGCTCTAAATTTTGGATATAATGCTTATACCTTTGCCATGTTGGGGGTTCTATAGATGATATGGATGATGTAGTTGGTTACTTGACAATTGATCATCTACATATTCTTTCTGTCGCAGCCATAGAGCAATTGAGACGTCCAGCAACATCCCTCTTTCTTATGCTTAAATCTTCCCAATAAACAACTTCTGTCCACTCATGGAGCTTTTGTTTGCTCCTCCACATATCGGCGATCCCATACCCCGAATCCTCAGGGTGAATATCGCCACTGAGGAGCTTCTATCCTTCAAACCGCTGCTACCCGCAACTTCTGGAGATATGGTATTCAATAGTGATGATCGTCTTTGATCTTGGTAAGATTCAGCGCAGTAATTCCTCCACAGGACATGGATACATGTTATCTTCGTGTATGCAAGTTGCCGAAAAGGTTGTAACTAACATGGGTACGGAAATGCTTACTATTGGCTTCGCTACAAATGGCATGGCGATAGTGGCTACTCGCTACAGTAACCTACATGTATCTAGCCGCGTAGTTTTCTGGGTGGCCTACAATGTGCTGCAATGGGTGGCCTACAACAAGTGACAAGTGGGCATCATTCGGCCTACGATAATGAGTAGGCTGTAGACATGCGTGTTTGCTAGAAGGCGGCAACTAAGGTTAGCCGCAATGGTATGTCATAGGCTCAAGCAACAATGGCTTGCACATAGTTGTGTCGCACAAGTCAAAAAAAAAATCCCATCTTCCTCTTCCCCGTGATTCGGCACCTTTCCATCTCTCATACAGAGTCTCTCTGCTGACGCTCAAAATATGCCGTCAATTTGCCCTTTGGCTGGCCTGCGGAAAACGCCCATGCATACATCTTCATAAAGGCAGCTACCCTCTCATCCATCACCTTCATTTCATCTTGTTTTTGCTGCTCAGTCGATTCCCCCGGTAAGGACTTTTGCAGCTCGACCTCCCCAACTTGGTGGCCAAAGTCCATGGTATCAAGCACAATATGGAACTCGTCGTCGGCTATCCACGATTCACGCGTAGTGCAAAAGGCCGCAATGGGATCAAGACCAAAGTTTTGTGCCGCAGTATCGTCGATGGCAGTGGTGCGTTTGATGTACGCCGAGATGTCGTCGACATTGTTGAGCTCTTCGAATCTCGAATTTGTGAAGGATCCGCCCTTTTTTATTTTGGCTTCCCACTGCCCGTCTCTTTTCCGGATCCAGGCTCCAGCCAACGAGAGGAGATTCGATTTGTCGTAGTAAGAGTCGCGTATTGTTTGGATTGGAAGCTTCTGTAGGCTTTTGAAATGAGGAATGCCGCCGCATCGGGTCAGTTTGGGGACTGCAAACGAGCGAAATTTCCTCTCCACCTCCAGAACGCAAGTTGGGGGGAATCGTCGAAATGCCATGGATGAGTGGCGAGAGGTTATCTCTGAAAAGAAATACGGTGAGTTATTAGCAGGTAATTCTTGCATGAATTACGCCTGGGAAACCTCCATGCTTACCTTTGTTCAGTGTGAGCTCTTGAGTTGGAGAACGGAGCAACAGCTGCCAGACAAACGAAGAGGTCGAGTTTCACAACGCCAACGCAACGAACGGATATTGTGGCCCGTGCGTAGGCGAAAATGAACGGACATTGAACCTTGAGAGCAGCATCCAGAGACTGAGAGATTTCGGCTTGAAAGCTGAAGAAGTCGAGCTAGAAACTTCGTCTCGAGTAAAATCGTTGTATGTACGCTGAGGTATGCCATGTTTCCAACACTCTCTGGCAGTTTAAATGAGTTAATTGCCTACTCAGATGAACTAAATCAAAGTTGTCCGGCACTGTCAAAACTACTTTGCGTATGGGTTGTGGACAGCTTCATCTCAGTCGGCGTGAAACAACTTCAACCCAACAGTGCCTGCTACTTCACGATCCATAGTAAAGGACACCTCTGCCGCAGAAATGATGGAGATTAAAGTCGGTTACTTGCGGCAAGTTAGACCCGAAAATATGCTAAGACGATCGACGAAAGGTCAGGCCATGACCCATCTCTGCCAAGAGGACGCGGGATCCTATGGCAGCTATAAGATGACCGACTTCCGGCGAATCTCCATCTTGAATCCCGCCTATGCAGGGGCCGTCCCGCATCTGGTCGATCCTCCATACGATCATCCTGTAGGATCGATGGATCGATCCTCCATCTTACATATCGGCCGATGCCTTTACTAGAGAAATGAAGCGACGAGCATCGCCACAATGTGTTGGCAGGCGATCATTTCCGTCTAAATACCGCTAAACATAAGCTTAAAAGTGTGAAATCTGCCTCGGTATCTGGATTATTCGGCATCGTGGGGTCGTTTAGTTGAAAGGATTGGCATGTGCCATGGCTCTAATAGCACGCTGTGGACGTCTTGACATCATCTGTTTTCATAATGAAACAAAGTGCACAAACGCCAACCGCGCTGAAGTGCGTTGAAACAAGCCAAGCCAATACGACGGTTACACCGCTTCATCAAAGAGGCAACTTGAAGTACATATGTAACTTGTCATCCGAGTCTTTACACGAATATGCCGATCACCAAAAGTCAGTCATTCATGAGCGTCGTAGGATGAAGGAATAGGGCTCCAGTCAATCATTGTGGGCAAGTTATCCTCATAAATAGTAGAATCATCCCCTCATATCTGGAGAAATGACATTCAATCGCCCATCCCAAGGATCAATTCCTTTCGAAGCACTTTTACACTGAAACTTTCGCTCACAATGCATCTCACCAATTCAATCGCTCAAGCCGTTCTCTGCCTCTCAGTTACGGTCTTACCTGTCGTCCACGGCGCCATCGCCATCGGTAACCAGATCAGAGAGGGCGGCACTCACTTCAACGTCGCCTGGATTGAAGGGATAGACCCTTGTAGCTTTGATGTTGCGATAGCTCCAGAGAGCGGACGCGAGTGCAATCGCAACTTTCGACTCGATGGCACCGATTACTACCTTGTGGGCTGCACCGACCCTAACACGGGTTATGCTCAGAAGCCGCAAAGACTTCGACGTGTCAAGGACAATTCGCTCTATGGGAACTGTGCCCCAGTGAAAAAGAAGGAGATTGACTGCAAGGGTCATACACACAACGTTGTGAAGCGCTACATCTGCGGTTAGACTGCTCAGCTCCTTACGAGATAGAGCTCTCAACAAAGTGGGGAGCTCAAAAGTTCGTTGGGAGAGGGCCTCAGTCAATGGAACGAAGGGGTTATGAATATAACGTTTTTGGTTTGAGGTGGTCGAAATTGGTCAATACTCTGTCATTACGATGAGAAAGAGTGGTATTTTGAGAGGATGTGTATATAATGCATATTCAACTGACCCGGATTCTGCTCTGGTACATAATACACATCATTCAAGGCTCAAATTAGTGTCCCGTCACGTTTTCGTGTGAAGAGCATGTTTGTAATCTGTTATGTAGGGCCAATCTTGTCTAAGTGTTCCATCAAGCAGGCATCCTGGATACATGTACAACTTTTGCCAATCTAGACCCCTTGAGCTTGAACCCAGGCTTGCCGGCTTCATTCATCGCAATGCACTTGGAGACCCATCCCCTGCTGGGTGGAAGAGAAAGTGGTACATGTAGCCTTCTCATCTAACAATTTCTGTAATCATGTGATTCAATATATCCTTTGAACCGCTGTTACTATAACGTAAGTGCAGCAACGGCACGCGCGTACAACTTTAACTCCCGATTCAATAGGGAGAACGTATAAGGGATTGCCTCGACTTAGCCGATCGAATATATAGCACTGACGGAGAAATACGCTGGACAGCGCCCTATTACGGATGGCGCCAAGGTCAATTACTCCGACACTCCGCGATGTAATGCGGGGAGAGTTACGCCATGGTTCGGGGAAACACCCCGGCCTTGTAGGCTAAAGGCAAGGCGAGCATCGCCTCTTATGACTAAAGTCATGTTGTTATAAAGTGTCAAACTGAAGCAGCGAGGCTCTTTCATTCTCTTCTCTATCAAAACAAAGAGAGCACTGATGCAAAATGGCCATCACCGCAACTCAGACCACAGTTGAAAGCGCGATTGAGCTTCCTGATTTGAGGCAAGAGAATGGCCGTGAAGCTGATTCGTCTGAGACCGGACCAGCGCAAGGGCCAGACCAACGCCTCAATAAGTCGGTGTACTTGAAGATTATCAGCGCCGGCTTCTCATTCTTCGTAGCCGGCGTCAACGATGGAAGCATCGGAGCCTTGATACCTTATATAATACGCGAATATGACATTAGCACGGCAATTGTATCGAGCGTGTGAGTGTAAAGCGTCGCTCCGGGGCAGGTCTCAAAACAAAAAATATTTTCACTGACACAAGGAGCTCCATGAATGTAGCTATGGCGCCAACTTTCTCGGCTGGCTGTTTGCAGCCTTTGCCAACACCCATCTCTGCCAATATCTCAACCTCGGCGCCATGCTTGCCCTCGGAGCCGTGTTCCAGATTGCGGCACATGCCCTCCGATCTTGGGATCCTCCGTTTGGGCTGTTTGTCGTGACGTTCTGGCTTGTGAGCGTTGGACAAGCATTTCAAGATACTCACGCAAACTCGTGGGTCGCCAGCGCTGTTCCCAAGGGTGCTCACCGCTGGCTGGCATTTATTCATGCCATGTACATGGCGGGCTGCTTGGTTGGACCGTTCGTTTCCACTGCCATAGCGTCTGCCGGAGACGTCTCGCGATGGTATCTGTTTTATACGTTCCCACTAGCTCTTGGTGTTGTCAATCTTGGGCTGACTTGCGTTGCTTTCCGGGATACTCTTGAGCTTCATCAAAAGACAGTTACAAGTGAGAGCAGTGGAAGAACCCTCGGTGAAACAGCTGAGAACCCTAACGAAGCTGTATCGAGGAACAAGGAGGCTACGCAACTCATCAAAAAAACTGCAAGCACGCCAAGTGTCTGGCTACTTAGCCTCTTCTTTTTCTTCTACCTCGGCTCCGTCCTTACTGCTGGCGGTTGGGTCGTGGAATACCTGGTCAATGTTCGTCACGGTGATTTATCGCAAATGGGCTATGTCCCTGCTGGCTTCAGCGGTGGCGGACTTCTTGGCCGATTGCTACTGGCAGAGCCAACGCACAGATTTGGAGAGCGCCGGATGGTGTTTTGCTACATCGTCGCCGCGATTGGTCTCCAGCTGATATTTTGGTTGTATGATTTCCCATCCAATCTCAAACTCTAATGTCGTGAAAACCAGGCTCACAGTAGAATCCTAGGGTGCCGAATATCATTGCCGCCTCGATCGCCGTTAGTTTGATCGGTTTCTTTACAGGGCCATTGTTCCCAACTGTACGTTTTTGCTTATTCTGCATGTCTCATGTCAATTTCGGCACCGTCTAACTCTGAGAAAAAGGGCATCTCGCTTGGGTCAAAGCTTTTCTCGCCAGACATTCACTCCACCGCGCTACCGCTGGTGTTTGTTTTCGCCCAGATGGGAGGCTCATTGTTTCCCATCATTACAGGCGTGGTGTCTGCCGATGCCGGTGTGAGAGTTCTGCAACCGATTTTGGTCGCTCTTCTTGCCACTACGGCAGTAACTTGGATGCTGGTGCCATCGCCAAAGTCGACATCCAATACTGCCCTGCATCAAGAGTGATGACAGCGACCTAGTGTAATACAGGTATGCTTTAAAAAGTATGGCATATGAAAATATCGTTGGTGAACGCGTTTATCAGTGATATGGCTCGTGTAAGCGCTGGTGCTGGTGCATGATGAATACAATGATGACTACAAGAAATACAGTTTTGTTGGACCAACCCCATTGATCTCTACCAAAAGATGGTCGTGAATTGATATCTAATGCCTGCTTGAATCAGTCTAACTCCTTTTTTATGATGTACAAATTCATACGCGCATGTAGTGTAGCCGCTTGTCGCATTAGATAGACTTGTATCACATTCGTACACATGCAACGATTCTCAGCTTCCAGCCATTTGTTGGATGAAATCATCTAAGCGCGCAGTTCATCTGTCGTTCGTGCTCCTCTCACTACAGTACCTAAGGTTACATATGTCAAATAGCATCGGAGGCCAATCGGAGGGCTGCGCAAATGGCCTCTGCTCATCGAGAGAGTTAAGAGCTCGACTCTCCCTTGCATGCCGCGGCAGCAACAGCACATCCCGCTTCATGCACAGTTACATTTGCGCCAAGTCCCTGACCGAGAATTCGCAGTCGCATCGCCTGAGCAAACACCCTTAGCGCATTGTTTGTGACGCAAGGGTCATGCATGTCTCGTAGCTTTGCGGGGCGGCTCGATCTCTTCTCTCACCGCGTTCCGAGATAAGGGGATGTACGAGCAGTCCGTAAGTAAAGCCATGAGAACACATGTACTCGTACGAATGATTGGGTGATTAGACGAGTGACTTGAGCTGACTCGAGGTCCACCAGGAGTCGCTGTATTCACTGCCCCTCGATGAAACGGGCGCAACGGAAACCCGGTAGTTGAACAAGACCAAAGCTAATCAATAAGATCAGTCACCTGTCAAGTTCCGGGGTCCAGTAACCAACGTGATGCAAACGGGACGTGAGTTGAGACTAACAATATCAACATTATGGTCTGGCTACATGTACTTTGCATGTGGCGTTGGTAACGACAGAATTGAAAGCGTGGTGCTTAGGCCATATTGCGATCGTAACACAATCGGATTGTATCATCCATAACGATGGCCTTCATCCTAGATCGGATTAAATCTTGACAGGATGATCCCTACCCTCATTTCTATCCACCGCATATCGTAGTCGGCCAATCTCAGGGTCGCGGGAAGAAATTGACAAATACTACCAGGGTACGTTCACACATTACCCCTTGCATCTGAAGTTCAGCCGTAACCGTGCTCGCAACTTAGGCCAGCCGTGTTTCACTTTGCTTTTTCTTCTTCCATTGCTGTGCCGTATAATACACGCAAGGTCAATAGGTCGAACGGGTATTAATACCTGATAATTGATATTTCGACACTCATCGATGGCTTAAGAATAAGAGAGCAGTTACATCAATACTCCTGGACGCTTATACCGGTACTCTGTACTCTGTCAATAGATGACAATTCCTCTTAGGGTAATCCAACTGCCGCTAGTCTCATATAAGTGCAGCACAGGTTCAAAATAGCGCGGAGGGCGATGCGACGAGGCGCGGGAAGATCGAGGAGGCGGGAAAAGTGGCAGGGTTATGCTGGTCAACCGGATGGATGTGAAGAGGAACCGTCTGAACTATTGACACCGTTGAGTGATACACAATCTGCTCCCGTGTTTTTATATTGAACGTCGGTCGGAGAGGTCAACTGTTAGACGTCGATCACTCGAGTTTACCGAGGACTAGTATAATATAGTATTATCCGAATGTGTATATTCGGAAACTGATCTCGAGGAACGGCTGTGGTGATGTCCTCGAAGCTGAGGCAATGATCTATGGAGTGATCCACCGAATTCGATCGCTAATCTTGCAGAAGAGCGGAATTAAGCGACCAACGAGAATACTATTACTGTTACACGCAAAGAAGACCATCTCAGTAGCAAGACGTCCATACTTGGCCTCAAGATACTGTCAGTAGTCACAGCTGTCTACGATCCGCTTCAAACGCGCATACGGACTTATTCGCAAACTTACACAGCTTACAGCCACATGCATGCATGCAAACGTGTAAATCACATCATTGGTCACTCATCATTCTCGTACCGGGATCGAATGAATAACACAACAGCTAAAACGTAACGTAAGGGGGTCGTTTTTGTCTCGCAGCGCCTGCAAGGGTCCTCGGACCCGACAATGTCAACGTTGTCTCAAGGGCTGTTTCCGCCCCCATCCACTCATGAGAGACGCAGAGACCGAGCCATTCACAGCTTCTCGGGAGCTTGGACGCCCGCGTCTGTCACCCACAGCGGGAACAACGTTGGCCGGTGTGACAGGAGCAGGGTTCAAGGGACGTTGGACGAACGAGATCGGCGGCTTGTGGCTGGTTGAGCACCAGCGTTTACCATGGTTTATTCGCAGCCACTCGGAGACGAACGGCAGTAGTAAAGTAATCACCAGTTGTGTTTTGAATGCTTTGTCCGCTTATGGTTCTCGGTTAGATTTTCACTGCATCCTTGCGTTAGAAGCGCCATACATGGCCCAAACAAAGAGCAGGCCAAGCAAAATAGGGGCGTTTGTCGAGACAGCAAACTACTATTCGAAGCAAGTACTCGTACATGCAGCTGCATGAGACGAGACGAGGGTGGGAGGGTGAACCACTCCGGCCCAAAATTCTGGCCCAACACCCACCCCCTTTGTGCTCAAACTGTATCCAGTCTTTTGTTTCCTGCTCAGCTCGATGCCCCCAGAAATACGGAAGAGCACATCGGGACCCCACGGCACAGATCGAGATTAAAACTCTTCCTCCCGTCCTGCTCTTTCATCTTGCTCTTGATCAGTTGCTGCCCTGGGCTTTTTCTTCTCTCGTTTCGCCCACAAATACCAGCGGCCCACAATCGACAGGCCGAGCATCGTTTGTGCTCTCTTCTCATCGCGAGCTCTTCAAGTCATCCTCAAAGGTTTCTCGCCACGATGGGCTCTGAGCTGGGCCTCACGGCTGATTCGAAGCCCGCAGCCAGGCTCAACGGGATCGGCATATGGTGGATTTGCTGGACTACAGGATGGACGTTGCTGCTGCTCTGGGGCATGGGCTTTCTCATCTACCAGCGCCGTATGCCGATGCTGAGGATAAGAGGGATCGGGCTATCGCTGTCTGCCATCTCTCTGCTCCACCTCTATTGGATATCCGTGCAACTGGGATATGTCCTGGGGCCTCTATATCCTGGAGACACGCAATATTGGATCATGGGCACATACTTGCCTCTGGGTATTGGCCTGTTCCACGCTTCAAACACCCGCTTTCTCCACGTTGCACAACGACAGAAGCAATACATTGACCGTGCTGATATTCTCAACGCTTCAGCTGCGGCGAAGCTCAGCAACAATGGTGATATTCTGAGCAGATTTCGAAGACTCGATCACACCACCAAGGTAGTCATTCTAGTCGGCTCTGGAATGTTCTTCCAGGTCAGTGCAACCCTATTCCCCCATTCTCATTCGTTCGGGGAGTTTTAAAGTTTTACATACCACGAGCTAACAATGGCCCACGCAGCTATTCATGGCAGTCTTCATGTTTCTCATCTCCCGCAAATGGCATAGTTCATGGGGCATCCCAGGCACCGAGGTTTCTGGCACCGAGATGGAGCAAAAGGTCCAGATGGGCCGAGGATGGGAATGGTGAGTTCTCCAAACAGCATCGGCTTTAAGAGCTTCTGTGAAGCTTGATAGCGTCGGCCGCTTGGGTTCTGACATAAACATCAACAGGTGGCCGTCTGTCTTGTGGCTGTTCTTCTGGGCCTGGATTGTTGCGCCATTCACGTTGTGGCGTGCACGAGATATTCGTGACACTCAAGGATGGCGCACTCAAACCATTTGGTGTGCGATATCCGGGTAAGTTTGACATCGAGGGATTTCAGTTGCCTCTTACTGACGGATCTGCGTATATATAGGCTTCAAGCAGCACCCATGTGGCTCATTGCCCTCTATGTCCCCGGGATGGAAGCGATTAATCACCAGTGGATTCCTCCTCAGTGGTATGTTCTCTGTCCCATCTCTGTGTCAAACTAAGCCGCTCATCACCGTCATAGGATTGCCCTCTCCATATGGTTAATGGAAATATTCACCGTCTTCCTCCCATGCTGGGAAGTGTTGTGCCATCAAAGCCTCTGCCAAGAGACGCTAAACACAATTGAGCAGTGGGAGAATAACAAGACAGGCCTCGGCAAGGCCATCAGATCTTTCAAGTCTAAATCGACAATCATCGACTCCATCAAGACAGGATGGAGGTCGACCAACAGTTCGATCAAAACGTCTTCCGTCGAGTCGATTCTGACGCTGAGTGCTCTCGAATACGTGCTGGAGAGGAATCCCGAGCCTCTACAACAATTCTCAGCCCTACGAGACTTTTCCGGCGAGAACATTGCGTTTTTAACAAGCGTAGGAGAGTGGAAGTCATCGTTTCCCGCTTCGGTCCGTAGCCGCAGCGGAGTTGTGTCTGAAGACACAAAGCGGGAGCTTGTCCGAGAGCGATTCAACCGCGCGCTTCGGATCTATACTGAGTACATCAGCGCTAGCGACGCGGCATTTCCCATCAATATCTCTTCAGTACAGTTGAAGAAACTCGAGTCCATCTTTGAGGGGCCCGCGCGATGCATGTATGGCGAGAAGCAAGCCGTCAATCCTGCAACTCTCTTCAACTACCCCGAATGGAACAAGGCCGCCTCTGTCGCTTCATGCTGCGAGGCTTCCAAGTCGGTTTCTGAGAAAGACAGTGTTTCAGGCGACTGCGTTCAATATTGGGGTGATATTCCGGAAGACTTCGACCACGGCGTTTTTGATGACGCTGAGAAGAGCATAAAGTACCTGGTTTTAACAAACACCTGGCCCAAGTTTGTTCGCGATCGCCGAGATTCCATGGAATCCTTCGAGAACGCCGGGAGCACCGAAACCGGCGGCTCCATGTGCTTTCCTCGCCCAAGTAAGCAGTAGGTAATCGGGTAGACTAAATTATTCTTAATTAGTTTGAGGCGTTTTGCGGCGGAGGGAAACGGACTTGCGGGGAATACCATCAAAAAAAAAAAAAAATCCATACTCTTCCACTTGTACATGTGATTCAGCGTCATAGTATTGCTCTAATCGCCCGAAAACGCGATAGGAAATACTAAACATTAGTGAACGCCTTAGTAGCGTTGCATACGTGTAGAGTTCCAGGGGCCGGTAAAATAAGACCGTGGCATTATTGCTTAGTGGCGTCAGCTTTTCCAATGAGTCAGTTTTCGCCATGTCGAAAATGTCAGAAAATGTCAATCGTACGCCTTAGCGCGACATGTTTGCTGGAGACTCGGAATTGTGGAAGAGATGGCTTGGAGATAGCCGACAACAAAGACTCATTTCAAGACTCTTATCTCCAACCCTCTTGAGTCTTTTTATAAATTAGAATGTCCATCCGCCGGATTGTATCAAACATCAAACAAATAAGAAGTCTCAGACAAAACAACAATTCTCTTCCACATTCTGTTGTCTCGTGTGCTCCACATACTCAACCTACATCTCATACTAAGTTGTCGGGTCTCTCACTCACTCGCTCACACCTCTCACACCTCTCACGCCCTCACAAACTCAACACACTACCATCCAAAATGGCACCAATTTCACTCTCTATCCGCAAAGCCACTCCGGCCGACCTTGCACCCGTTCTCGCACTCGTGCGCTCCGCATATCGCGGTGAATCCAGCCGCGCAGGATGGACAACCGAAGCAGAGCTCGTCGATGATCAACGAATCGACGAAGAGGGACTTCTGGCAAAGATCAATGAGCCTTTTGGAGCAGTACTTGTTGCCCAGGACGAAGCCGGCGACATCTTGGCATGCTGCGAGGTTCTGAAGCAGAGCGACACCGTGGGATACTTTGGCCTTTTTGCCGTAAATCCCCTACGCCAAGCCGGAGGAATCGGGCGCACTGTCCTCACTGCGGCGGAAGAATATGCCAAGCAGACGTGGGGTCTAACGGAGATGGAGATGACCGTCATCTGGACTCGCGAGGAGCTGATTCAGTACTATATTCGCCGAGGATACACGCTGACGGAGAAGACGAAGCCGTTTCCTTATGCTCAGCTAGTCGGCGGCAAGGCGTTGAGAGACGATTTGTATTTTTCCGTCTTAATAAAGGCTCTTTGAGAAGTGCGTAAACTCACAAGCACTTTGGGATTATATTTGGGATGCTGAGTTAAGCATGGAGTTGGATGAATTGTAGATGGCGTCTGATTTTGAAGCATGAGCATGAATTGACGATATCTGATGAATTACACTTAATAAACTTCTGCGAAAGTGACATTATTTGACCGTGATGTGATTGTGGGGCTTGTGCCAACTCGACATATCACGGCGGAGGGGTTCTGTGTCGTTATATGAACCTGAGTCAACGTTGATTCGATAAAGCAATATGCCGGCTCAGACCTTTAGTATGAACCACCGACATGCGGCGTCTCGCAACGTGGAGGCAACCTCCCATCGCTTGGAAGAAAATCGAGATACATGACGGCCTTTGTTTCCACCCACTCTCTCAGATCAACGCCTTTCTGACCTGCATCAATCGTGTGTCCATTGACACTAAGATATGAGCCTTGGTGAGGGATACTAGCATTAAGTTCGACCTTCTTGGGTCTCCAGGCCTTGACAGAGACGCCATCCTCCTCGGAGCCAGATTTAGCACCAGCTAACGTGACTGCCTCGGGCAGACTAACATCGACAACTTCCCCTTCGCCGTAAAAGATGAAGCATCTCACCGCACAAGTTTTGCAGTAGAGAAAGTGCAGCGTCTCATTGTTGCACACATAGTCGCCTAGACTCTTGAGAGGATTTAGAGGCGATAGAAGTAAGAAGTCGTCGAAAGCAGATGCGGGGCGGACATGGAGGAACCCCGATTTATGGCAAACGGTGCAATTGCACCTGTAAATGCGCTGGACTCCTCGAGATGGCGGCGGTTCTGAGTTGAGAAGCGTCGCGGGAGGGAGAGTCAGAAAGACAATGTAGCGAATGGCCCCGCAATGGCACGAGCCGGTGTAGGGTAATCGTTGAGACTGAACAGAGTCTTGATCCTGCGGTTGATGGCTCATGATACTGTTTGGCTGGCTTGGATAATGTTTGTATGGCCCATATACCTGAAGGCGTTGAGAAGATATAATATGTTGTTTGCTTCGTTAGTAGTGAAAACAAAGAGTTCTCAAGTCCGTGAATCAATTCACAAGTTCAGCTCATTTCAGCTCAGCTTCTCTCGTTGCAGCGTGAATTCCAGCTGCCTAGCGATAATAAGCTCGGGAATCAACTGCTCCGGTAACACATGTTCTTGTTACCCCACCAAAGACAGATATTATGTCCATTTTGATGGCCAGAAACGTTCAATTCATCTCGTCAAATCGAAACCATAAACAGCACTCCTCTTGAGCGGTGAGATTTCAACAATCACCAACGCCCGACAACTTCTTAACAGCGATCGGAAAGTAACAGGGCTGCATCTCCAATTTATATCCACATCCTGATTCGTGACCGATCGCATAACGGCCGTTTTGTCCAATTGCCCCGTTTAGGCTTAGATCTTCTCCGCAGCTTGGCCTCTCCTCTAAGGAAATCATCGCCGGCGATTACTAAAAGAAATGGTCACGCCCAAGACCGATTTTTGGCCGAATCTGGATGCCCTCGCCGGATCTCGCTTTGCTTCTCTCCATCTTGTTCTCCAGCTCGCGTCTTTCCTCGTCGCATATCGGCATAACGTCAGCTGTTCAAGTTAATCCATCAGGCCACAGCTATACCGGACGATTTCCCGTGTGGCGACCAGCTGGGCTTCTGGAACTTGATGCCTGCGGTCAAGCACCCGTGCGTCCAGTGCAAAGGTCCGCTCTCAACTCACCTCAACTTGCCCCCTTTATTCGTATTTTTATAGCTGACTCGAGCGTTTCCGATAGAGAAGCACGTCAAATGTGAGATTGATCCTTCCGTTCGTTTTTATCCGGCCTTGGCCGTTGGGCTATGACATCTTTGCATGAGATCCATCTGCGCTTCTTACATGTACATGTACGAAGAGGACATGCTGCTTCTCTCGGACCGGAGGAGCAGTAGACATCTCGTACATGGACACCTGATGTGCCGTACTCCATGGAGCTTTTAGAGTGGCATTGCTGACATGATGCTGCCATTGGCAACCCATCGTAGGTGACGAGGAGCGCCCCAAGTGTCGTCGGTGTCAGTTGAAACTCTTGCCATGCACGCGTCCAACTAAGAAGACCGTCTTCCGCCATGGGTCCGCCGCCAGTTTTTCCAAAGAGCAGAAATGGGTCAATAGCGAGGTGAAGCACTGTATGTAGACTGAGACCATAACGGCCTTTCCCCTTGAGGCCAAGGCTTGGCCATCTCTCTGCCTTGCCAAACTGGTATCGAGTGACACTTGATGATTTGGTCGCTGACTGTAAATGGAAACATAGTTCGCTTCCATTCCCAGGGTGGTGGTCCCGCGGTAAGTCAAGAGAGTCCTGATCCGCATAGGGAATCCGAATCGTGGACCGCGGCTACTCCCGGCGCGGCCAATCAGTCCCCATATCATGTTATCTCAAGCGGTGGCCCCTCAGTTGACTCGCCTTCAAATCACTCGCCTCACCTGAGCCAGCAATCCGAAGATAAGACCCCTGATGCGGCGCCCTTTCGGCCCCTTGATCCATATGATGACCGGCCGCCTGCTCAATATAGGAGCACATCCCTTGGCCCCCAAGTCCGGCCTCGTGGACAAGGGGATGTTGATCACTATTCTTCCGCGGGGCACTCTACAACAACATACCCCACTGACGATGGCTCTGCTTCATATGCTTTATTGTATGACCGTCATGTGCCAAGCGTGATATCATCACAAGAAGATGAGACCTTTCGAAGACGGTTTCCCTTAGAAGACACCCGGGAGGCTTGTCTTTTTCGATATTTTGTCGAAGAGATTGCGCACTGGGTAAGTCCTTGTTTGCAACATGATATGACAGCATGAAGACCTTGTTGTGTTGACTTCCATGGGTAGTTTGACTTGTGCGATGAAGACCGCCATTTCCAGCTTGCCGTTCCTCGACTTGCTCACCACCATCCACACCTCCTCAACGCGATATTCGCAGTTGCCGCCCGCCATCTCAGCCGTCTTCCCCAGTATCGGACCCCCGCCGGTATTCTCTATCACGGACAGATTATTCCCAAGCTTAGCGAGCATGATGCAGTCGAGTACATGCTCAAGTGCATCCCTGCGCTCCGGCACTTTCACGATATTGATGACGATGATTATCGAGATAGCATCATTGCTACAGCTGTCATCCTCCGCCAGTTGGAGGAAATCGACGAGGAGGAAGAGGACGCCTCAACAAATGATAGTAGCCATGGCCAAGGCGATGATGCCCATTTCCAATCCGGAAAACAAGTCAATTTCCTTCCCATCATCAATGCTGTTTTGAGAAGCTCCGCGTCGCAGGCATTGTTTGGCCGAAGAAGTCTTATCCAAGCCGCGTACTGGATGGCACTTCGACAGGAAATCTACCATTCCTTTACTCGAAAACAGCCACCGCAGCTGTTCCCTTCGTCTGATTTATGGCATAGCGCTTCCAAGGCGAATAAGACGGTGATGCATACCGTCCAAGTAGCCAAGTGGCGTTGGGAAGACGGATCTGAACGCGAATGGAGTAAGTCGGATGATCTGTTGGGTTTTGGTGTATATCTGCGAGAGGACTGACCAAAGGCCTTTTTAGTGAGGCTCATGGACCAGCAAAACTACCTCGAGTACGAGATTCTGGCCAATTTCCGCCCCATCTTCAAGAGAACGGCAGACAAGGCCAAAGGGGAGATTTTTCCTACCATCTGGTACGGATCCAATCTTGAGGTTACCAGTATCCAACAGAGCATCATGGCAAAGTCGGTGCTGGTCGCCGAGAATCCGTTTCTCAAGTACGTCCCTTTGTCACACATCTTTCCTTTCCCTTTATGCGACCGGTATTAATGTTTGGTTCTTTAGAGCGCCGTCAGCATCGCGGGCGAGCTGGAGAAGGGCCGAGAACGATGTTCGTCTGCTGTTGCTGGAGCTCTGCGGTATCGCTCTCTGCCATCCCGCCTCGCCTCCAGCGCTGTTGAATGCTGCCATTGGTATTCAGCTGTATGGCGACTTTTTCACGGACCGATATGAACGTCAGGCGCTGCGGGTTGTCGTTGAAAAGTATCGAGATGCGCGAGCCTGGCCGGTCCAGAAGCTGTTGGAGATGTTTAAGGAGTGATTGATTCCGTTGAACTGGATGCTTGATCTCGAGCTGGCGAAGATAATCGGCGTCTTCTATAGAGGCGGGATTTGGGTTGTATCAGCAGTGGTATTTCTGTTCGCGGCCTTGGTGCTGTTAGAGTCTAGCAAGCGTTGTCGACTTTGATATTTCGAGATGTGATGATGAAAAGAAGATGAATTGATGTTGCATTCAATTGGTGCATCTGGTCGTCTCGAGGTTGCAGCGCTGCAAGGGCGCTGTAATGACAAGCTGGAGCCTGGAGGTGCAGCTGGGTTTGAAAGTCACAGCGCGTCTTGGCGTCACCCAACGCTAAAAGAGGCACTATCAGCCGTCAATCATCACCGGGCTCCGTGCATGGATCGACTCCAACCTAACTTCAGAGCATCACGATGAACTGTCCACGGAATTCGATGAAAGACTGCAACGCATCAAGATAATCTCATATCTGTCGTGGAATCCCTCATATTTCTTCATATCCCATTTCAACTACACTCTGTGACTTTGATCCAGTACCAGCCAGAGTGCTTGATTAGAGTGGTAACAAGGGCGTGCGCATTTGTGCCGATGAGTCGCAGCCATATTCACGGCGATCTGAATAGTAATATTCCCAATTCTCATCCATGGATGGATTATTATATTTGCTCACCAGTGACTATATAGGTGATATTAGCAAAAATGTCAACCCGAAGGGTAACTAGAGCGGCCGTAGCCAAAGCTGCCGCCGAAGCTTCATCGTCACCAGGCATATCAACGGCTTCATCCAGCGACCCCCTTATTATCAAGACCAAGTCCAAGATCACCGAACCATCAGCATCCTCAAGTATCACCTCAATCAAATCAAAGCCCAAACCAAGCTCAACTTCATCATCGTTATCATCAACCACACAAACCCTCAGTTTCCCATCCGCCTCCCATTTCGACGCCTGGCTCCTCTCCTCCGGCACCTCAACACCCTCCGGCATCTGGCTACGCTTCAGCAAAAAATCAATCATCGCAAAAGTCCCCTCCATCAGCTACCTCGATGCCGTCGACACCTCTCTCTGCCACGGCTGGATCGACGGCCAGCGCAAACGCCTCGATGACCACTTCTTCCTGCAGCGCTTCACACCTCGCCGGCCCCGAAGCCTATGGTCTGCCCGCAACGTCGAGCGCGTCGAGATGTTGACGGCTGAGGGCCGGATGAAGCCTGCAGGCATCGCTGCTGTGGATGCTGCGAAGGGGGATGGGCGCTGGGATAAGGCTTACGCGGGGCCAGCGACAATCGAGGTTCCTGAGGATTTTGAGGTGGCGCTGGCTGAGAATGAAGCGGCAAAGGTGATGTTCCAGGGGCTGAGCAAGTCGCAAAGATATTCGTTCCTGTGGCGCATTCATACAGCCAAGAAGAGTGAGACGAGGGAACGGAGGATCCGAGAGTTTGTCAATCTCTTGGCCGAGGGGAAGGCGTTACAAGGCACGTTGCAGACCCGAGTATCATAATATACCAAGATGATGGTATGTATTATCGGAGGGGTTGGTCATTATAATCATCTATAGAGGATGTCCTAGTATCGTAAACGCAATCCAAATAATCCGCCAATATTGTCCAAATCCTGTAAAAACCCCTGTTTACGCCAAAACTAACCTTGCGCCAAAATCATTCGTAATCGTCTTCCTCCGATTCCTCTGCAATACCATCGATAAGATCGTCTTCGGATCTCTCCTCGTCTTCATCCTCGTCATCGTCATCGTCATCATCAGAGTACTCTTCTGGATCTGTACTCATGTCGTCCTCTGCCTTTCTCTTGCGTGGCGAGGGATGCCTCTGTGGCACGAGATCAAGCCGAGTGGCTAAACTCAACTGCCTTACATCTGTGACTTCATCTTCTTCGTCATCATCTTCGTCATGCTCTTGGCCCCTATGATTGCTCTTTACTCCATTTGAAGCCCCTTTTCCGTCTTTCTTGCTGCTGGATCCATCCTCGTCCATCCCCTTGACTTCAACGTCATTATCATCATCGTCGTCTTCTTCTTCATCGCTGTCAACAATCGCCGCACGCTTGCGACTTCTCCTATTGCCGTTGGGCTCGCTCACTCCTTCATCCTCTGTGTCTGACGTGACGACTCGCGCTGGGCGGCTAGTGCGAGCTCGCTTCGCCCCCGGTCCTTCAGACGGATCCTCATCATCCGAATCAGCTACAATTCGCCGTTTTCGAGAGTTCTGCGCATCCGGAGTAGAGCCTCCGAGGCCAGTCGGCTCTGGCTCTGGCTCTGGCTCTGGGCTGGAAAACACGGGAACGATTTCTCCCACCTCATTGCCATCTAGGGTGACGTCGTCATCATCGTCATAAACTTCATCTCCAGACATGTCATCCTCATTACTATTGTCTTCGCTATCATTATCAATGATTTCGGAGTCATCGATTCCCTCGCTTTCGTATTCGTCAGGCTCAGATTGGGAACTGGCATCGGAGTCGGATGAAGAATCAGAGACTTCCCAGATGGGAACGCCGCGTTCATAGCTCTCCCGCCACCTTACCCTCGCTTTATCCAGAGCTTTTAAGCCCTCTGAATCATCGAATGCGAGCATCGGGAGGACTGAGATACTACGAGTAAAAGGTAATGGATGGGATATATCTCTTATCGTTGGGGTGGGGACATTGTTACGAACAAAGTCGTCGTAGTCGTCCGCATTCGGCCAACATCGTTTTGTCCAAAAATAGTCATTGCCTCTGTCCTTGATAGCGGTAGTATGTGTATAAACGAAATCCGAGCCACACCAGCGCTGCACGTAGGGGGCCAACGGGAGGACAATTTGGGCGAGAAGAAATAGCCGCTTGAGATTATGGAATGGCTCCATGGCGTGGATGAAGTAAGGAGCGGTGTCGATATCCGTGTCATTGTCGTTAAAGGCGTGTTCGTCAATTGCAAGCTGCACCACATTTTCCGCGAAGCCGTCGAAATGATATGCGCTGTCCTCCAAGCTCTCATCAGGAGCCGATGGACTGATGTGCCCTTTTTCGTACCCGTCGATTTGGACAACATCTCGGTCCCGGTTGAAGGACACCATTCCATAGCCATTTCTCGCAGGATTCTGAACCTTGAGAGTGTGAGGCAGAATCTTGCGAGCGACCTCTCGAGCCTCTCGGTTGACCGCCATGAGGATGCGCGTCCGCCTGGTTACGCGGGCCAGATCTTTGCCGGGCCGAACGTGCCAATCCCGAAACAGACGCTGGATTTGGTCGCCATACTCGTTTTCTGTAAAAACGCCGGGCATCTTTCGAGGGATGGCACGAACTTCGAACTGAAGAACGCGAGGCTGCGCTGCCTCTGCCAAGCCAAGCTCCCAGATCTTGAGGCGCAGCTCTGGAGGCAGCTGAGAAAACCCGTGGAAAACGCGTCCCTCGTAGGGATTCTCGTCCCAAGGATCTGTGCCATTGTAGAATTCGTATTCGACGGCCGAGTCGTAGCTATCGTCGTCGCTTTCTTCTGCGTATCGGAGCAGAAGCTCCGAGACTTCATACATTGTGAAGGCGCAAAGGGAGCCAATCGTTCTCTTGCGGAAGAGAAGAAGAAGAGAAAAGAAGAATGCAATCGCCTTTTCCGAGAGAGACGCGCCGTATATAAAGGGAGAATTGGCGCTCAATATTAGTCGTACAAACAAGTAGGTGATAGTAGTAATATTAAACTCGATGGCCCGTCACTTTGGCCTTTTGGCGCTGCTCAACTTTCTTGGACTGTGACGTGCTGATAAGATAAAGCGCCGCGCTATCACGTGCTTCCGTTCACCTTGCCAAAGTGACTGCCAGCTGTAGCGCTACTTGGCCATGAACGAGGGAGATGTACATGCGCATGTATGCTCACATGTTTTCTGGTGCAAAGGGGACCAAAAGAACGTTCAACTAAAGGGAACCGTTAGGGCTTTGCGTACATGTACACGCAGCTGCATCATGGTCTCTCCCGCCAAATGTACTCCGAACATGTACACATGAAGCTTCAATCTCATTATTTCCAAAGCTGTCAGTCAGTCTGTCTAGGAGAGATAGGTAGGTATCTTCATCAATTATTATTTATTCATCGCTTGTTTTCTATGAATTTCAATCACCATTCTATATATAACAATCGCAATTGCTGCTCTGAGCTTCCAAAGGCTACCATGTTCATCGCGCCATCCACCCGCCATCGACCTGCTTCTCAGTTAGCCAAAATGCTTCGATAATGCAACCATCGCTTTCAATGCTTCAACGTACTACAATCGTTTCTCCAGAAACATAAGAGCTAGCATCAGAAGCAAGGAACACGGCCGGTCCTTTGAAATCCTCCGGTTTTCCCCAGTGGCCCATGGGGATGCGTGTCACGATGGACTGGTAATATGTCTGATCCGGGTTGCTGCGTGTGTCTGTATTCATGTCCGTGGCGATATATCTGCAGTTTTTCTTGCATAAGCATAATACAGTAATGGATGGTAAAATATCCACTCTCAACATACCCTGGCGCAATTGCGTTGACGCGAATCTTATGCTGTGCCCACTCGTTAGACAGAGATTTTGTAAGTTGGCCAACGGCACCTTTGCTGGCCGAATATGCAGCCATTCTCACGCCGCCCTGGAATGTGGATAGACTGGCAATGTTGATGAGCCTGCCATCGATCTTGTTGTCGATCCAGTATCTGCCCATGTCGCGGCACAGAATAAAGGGGCCGTTGAAGTTGACCTCCATGACTTCGTCGAGCACCTCCTGTGAAATCTCAGTTGCGGGATATCGCCGCATGATACCGGCGTTGTTGATGAGGATATCAATACGATATGTCTTAGTCACAGAAGCAATGAGGCCATGTACACTGCTTCGGTCGCTCAAATCTGCTACAACAATGTGGCACTTGCGTCCCAGAGCTTCGATGCTCTGTTTTGTAACGCTCTCCTCTGTATTCCGCTTTTGACGTTCTCACGCTTAGTCAAAGACATGATCTCATAGCGTCTGGAATTGTGTTAAATGACTTACCTGGACAAGGACAATATCTGCACCTGCCTCAGTAAGCCCTATGGCGATAGCTTGGCCAATACCGCGAGTGCCTCCAGTTACTAGAGCAGTCTTGCCAGCCAGAGAAAACAGCTCCATGATTGGCCAGGAGTTGTTTCTCTAGTACAATTACAAAGAGTGTAAATGAGTCAATAAGAAACAGGTCACCTCAATTATCTGGGTATTTGTTTATGCGCGAAATTTTATTCTCAATGGTAGATTTCGGAGTAGAGATTGAGCTCTGAGTTATGTCAATTGTCCACACTAAATGCTTCACTAGAGGCTTGTGACAGCCCGCTGTCTTCGGCGTTTCGGCGATGCGACTCCAGACGACCTTCTCCTCATTCCTACATGTACTTCGGCCCGACCAATATTCATCTTTGGGCATCAAAAGCAATGATTTCCGTTCTATTAAGTGAAGAATATCTTTAATAGCAATCATCAAGTGCAATTAAATAAAATTAATTCCATCTTTCCCATTATTATAACATAGCTAAAGACCAATATCAAGTATGGCTCCCGCCCAGCAAGACGCTGCTTTCGGCATTCAGCCCCAAACATCTGCTGAGTCGTCCATCCAAGAACAAAAAACTCAAGTCATCATTATCGGCGGTGGACTGAGTGGTTTACAGGCTGCTCACGATCTTCAAGCAGCTGGCATTTCCTGTCTCATTCTCGAAGCGCGCGATAGAGTTGGCGGTAAACTGTGGTCTGTACCTCTGGGCCCCGAGAAAGGATATATCGAGCTTGGGGGTGCCTGGACCAACGATGTGAATCAGCCCATGGTAACTGCACTGGTCAAAAAGTTTGGGCTGGAGATGGTGACACAGAACATCGTCGGTGACTGCATCATGGAGGAGAAGGGAAGGTTTCGTTATGGAACTGATCCACCGGTAAGTTCAATACCTGCGTTTTTCTCTCCAAACAGATATAAACAAAGGCTGATGATGAAATTTAATGAACCAGTTGTCTCAAGAGGACAAGATAACATTTGCTGAGATAAGAAGTCACGTTGAGGCCCTATGCCACACCGTCAAGGCTGCAGAACTCGGCCAATCTCTGACCAAGCATGGACACATGAGCATGGATGATTTTGCAGTTTCCATGGGCGCCAGCGACATCCTACGTCGTTTAGTCAATATTTGGACTGCCGCAATGTTGGGCGTCGAGTCGAACCAAGTCAGCGCCGTCTTCTTTATGCATTACTGTCAAGCGGGAGGTGGCCTCATCCAAATGCGATCAGACGGCAAAGGCGGCGGTCAGAGTATGCGCTTTCGACATGGAACGCAGTCGCTGTGTTATGGGCTTCGGAATGGTCTCAAACCAGAGACAGTCATATGCTCAACCCCTGTGCAAACAATCGAGCAGGATATTGGCAGCGGATGCCTGGTCATCGCTCGGGACGGAAGACGTTTTCGCTCTGAACGCATCATTTCCACGGTTCCAAGCGTCTTCTTGAGCCAAATCAATATCTCGCCGCCGCTATCAGCAGATAAATGTTGGCTTAGCACTCACAGCAAGCTTGGGTTTTACGCAAAGGTGTTCCTCGTCTACTCAGAGCCTTGGTGGCGTACGCTTGGTCTCTGCGGCCTAGCACAAGGCCTCAGTGGACCAGTGGCTCTGACAAGGGATGCCTCGAGCGATGAAGATGGCCTGTTTGCATTGATATGCTTCGTTGTAGGCCAAAGAGGTGCAGAGTGGGCACAGAAAGATGCAAACGAGCGCTTGATTGAAGTGATTGCCCATGTCGATCGCATCTATGGAGCAGATATTCCGCGGCCTCTAGAGACGCGAGAACAAATTTGGAACAAAGAAGAATTTTCACAGGGAGCCCCTTGCCCTGTGGTGCCTGCCTCTTGCTTGAGGAGTCTCAGTCAAGATCAATGGCGGCCGGAGGGCTATATTCATTTCGCCGGAACAGAGACGAGCACCGTATGGAAGGGATATATGGAGGGAGCTCTAGTTTCTGGAAGTAGAGCTGCGGGAGAGGTTATCGATATATTGTCTACATAAACAAGTTAAGCGGTGCAGTAGATGACAATTTCGCAGTTAGGCAGAGTACAATAGCGTTATATCCGAGGCTTTACCAGTTATTCACGGTATACTCCTCGGAGGATCTGGCTGCTGCAGGTCAAGGCCGCCTATGGAGTCTCGCCAATAAAGAGACTGCCATTCTGAAGAACTCTCCTCCCATCTGTTAGGTTGGATATGGAGATCTCCTGGCTGCTCTTCTTCAAATGACAAAAAGTTGATCCACTCTCTTTCCTCTGTCAAAGTTTCTTGTTCCGTAGCTTTCTGTTTGCTAGCGGTTTGGTTTGCGATCGACTGAAGCCCTTCACCTTCGAAATTCTGCTCCGAGAGATTTCCGATATTAGGCAACACTTCTTGTGTTGTCATCCTAGTATCATCTGTTCTCGGGCCAAATTGAAACAGACGCCATACTGAGGCTGCCATCAACCAGTGTTGAGAGAGCTGTTGCAGGATCCGCAAGCCTGAGGCGTAGTTTTCTTGCGCCCTTAGCGAAATGATGGGGTTCTCACTTCGTAATTGAGCCTGAACTTGGACAAGGGCTGTGAATAATGCATTAGGAGCACAGAACCAACAGTTTTGTAGAGCCGAGAGCTTATCCATCTCTTCGAAGATGGAGATAATTTTAGAAGCTGCCTCTATGCATATCCGATCATTGTTCAACAGATCCATCGAAGGCACATCACCCGTAGAAGATAGCCGTAGGCGGTGGACTTGGACCAAGGTGGTTTCGTATGTGAGGAATAGCATTGCCTTGTACACGCTTGTTGGCTGGCTACGGTCGCGTAGTGCAGGGGGTAGACTAAGGAGCCATTCAGCAAGCTTGAGATCCAAAGCTTGGAGAGAGGCACTCCAGTTGCTGGGAGATTTCTGGGTTTTGAGGGTAAAGTGAGTCCTGAGTAGAATGGATATATCTGCGCAGAGCTTCGCGTGGTAAATGCAAAAGCTTGCTTCGTCCTCACTGGTAGAGGCATCGAAATCTTCTACGCTAAGAGGTGGTGTATCACAGTCATCCAGATTGCTAAACAAAAACTGTTAGTTTGCCCATTTGAGAGGAAAGATGAGCGATGGTCCAAACTTACATGTTCTGCGGCCGACCGTAGCATAGAGACACGAGCACATCAAATTGGACCAAACACCACCAGATCTTCCTCCAAGTTCTCTTGTCTCGTTCCAGCATCTTGCTTGGGCCAACATCTCGGTGCATGCCCAGGCCGAGAGCAATACGTGTTGCAACTCCGATCCAGTACCAGGCATTTGTGCACACATCGTCGCCACCATCGGAAAACCAGGTCAAGAGCAGGGCCGCTTGTACCATGTGCATCCGGTCTTCCTCATATCGCCCATCGAACAGCGCTTTTGCCCGACGAAAAAAAGCACCTTTCAGTTCTTGAGTGTTGTCAAGCGTGGACGTGGCATGGCTTCCTGCGAGACATATGGCATGAAACAGAAGTAGTGGTGGTGCTGAAGCCGGAGCTTCATATTGGACTAGGAACTCTTCTCGATCAATGATTGGGAAAAGGCTATGAATATGCTCAAAGTAGGCCCCTATCAGAATATCGGAGACACTCTTGGGTGGAAGAACGAACGCATCTTTGGGAATCAAGTTGGGCGCCGGGATGCCTTGTAACCCGGGTATGCGTGGTGCGTAGCTATTCGAAGAAGGATAGTGATGAACACGCTGGTTTGTCGACTGTTGGCGAACAAGATAGCCAAGGGTAGATAGATCACTCCCAATATAGGTAAGGCGTGTTTGTATAGGCTTCTCTAGGAGGTTCTGGCTGAAGAATTCCACTAAATTCTGCCTTGCATATTCTGCATCCGCCGTTCTATGAGAGACTCCGGGATGAGCAGAGCCCTCATCATGTTCATGGGCAATAGGTTCCGCGGAAATAGGCCCCGGTTCCGCTGTTACTATTCGTCGTCGAGTCGAAACTGGAATGGCCAATCTCTTTTCTCCTGATGCAGAAGGCTGGCCGGAAACTCGAGCTCGGCGCTTTCGTCTATCAGGAACAACACAATGAACCTCCGCTAGCCTACAATTGCGGCAAGGGAATCCATTAATAGCACCGTCACACTTGACTTTTCGCGCATGGCAATCTCCGCAAGCTCTTTCTTCAAAGTCCTTTGTAAGCGCAACTCCTGATGACAGCAACTACCAAATGTGGAAGCTCACTTATAGATCTGGTGATACGGAGTGTTGTGCTGACGCCGGGGTCACCACCGGAGCTGTTCGGCATAATTGGCATGATCGAGATGATGCACTCGGCCTCTTAAACAGGGCCTATGCTTGTATATGCCTAGCCTTGCTGAGAGACGGAGTTGGCCTCGCATGAATTTCCCTTCACGTCCAAGTCCGTGTATGTTGGTTGTGATGTAGCTTCGATCTTTGTTTCAAATCTGGCCGAAAAGCCGAAGGGCCGAAAACTAGAGCCCGACAACTTACGTAAGAGCGACTGTGAAGACATTCATAGCCTCGAGCAATAGTCCTAGATGGGGGAATAGTGTACTCGTAGTAATACATGCTATAATAAGAATAGAAACTAAATAGGAAATACATTATAGGAGTCTATTTGAAAGTCTGGAGTGTGGACAAGCCAAAAGTGAAATCCCAGGGATGGGGTGTGAATGGCTTTATATTCCTAGCGCTCTACTTTGCCCACCAATAATTCCTTGAACGCCGTTCCACACAATCCCAAGGTTGGAGTTATTTGTCAAATCATCCTGATTTTGGTAAATAGCAAGTCTATATTAAGTTTAGTTAGCCCAACATATCCAAAGGAAGCTGGCCGTTGCGCTACCCAGTAAAATGAGTGTCACAATAGCGGCCCCAGCTTTGTCTGCTGTACCAATCGGTTTCAACTCCCTCTCTCCATTGTCTGCCCCAGTTCCTGCATTCGGGTTTCCTTTAGAAATACCTCCCGATGAATTGGTCACTGGAGGATTCGCTTCATTGATTAGAAGACTAGACACCGCTGCCAGGACATTCATGGCTTCGCCAGCGCCGCTGGTGTGATCGACGGCCGGGTCGATAAATTTCCCGGAACTCCAGTAGAAGCCACATCGTCGGCCTGAATCGCCTCCTGTGCATTGCTTGACAGCAGCTTCTGTCGATTTTCGTAAAACAGGGAGAATTTTGTTCTTCGTATATGGGGCGACTTGGGTCACCACAGAGAGCCAGCGATGGATATAGCCTTTGAACGAAAGCATGTCTGTACTGCATGCACCTTGGCGCGGCTCGCATGCAGCCTCATATGCAATTCCCTCTGGAAAGAATCTTGTTAAAAGAGAGTCGAGGAGTCTATCTACGCGATACTTCCAGACATCTGAGCCGTTGGTCTAGAGTACCAGTTAGTTCATCTGGATCAGGCTTATGGGCAAATCATGGCAAGGCTTGCACATACATAGTTGTACATAAAGGCAGCTCCATGGGTTAGAACAGCTGCGTTGTAGGAGAATGTGGCGCGATTTATATCGGTGCAATTCTTTTCGACATGGCCACCATCATAAACGAGCCAGCTTTCGTGATCGATGTATCCCACTCCCCATAACCAGTTCCAAGTATCTTCGGCGCGCTTTGCGTATGTCTCGTTTCGAGTGTATCGAGCAAGTCGGGCGCCGATATTGAAGAAGCATCCGTTGGCAATTGCTATAGGAATGGGCACCAGTCAGTAATACAAAGCTTTAAACATAGAGTACCTTGCCTTACTGTTCTTATAGTTGTAACCCGCATTTGAGAAAGGGATTTGCCATCTCAATCCACCATTGCAGGTCTCATCGTGGCGACTGGGATCCGCTTGAGTGTTCCAAACTGCTTGGGCTAAGGCAAGCCACTGGGGTTTATCTGCTGGGGGATTCGGGAATTTGTTCTCGGCCGCCAGCATTGCCGACATGCCCCAGAAGCCTTGATCGTCATTTCCGAGGGATGCAGTGTGGTTCAAGGGCATATAGTTCGCGTGGTCGCCTACTTGGTGAAGCATGCCCTCCATCACGACCGAATTGTAGCTCGTATCGCCCGTGAGATGCCAATAATCGACATATGTGCCCATCATGGCACCTCCTTCCCACCAGTAGTAATCTCCTTTATTCTCAGTTGGTGGACCAGGCAAAATGCCAGGAATCTGTCCCGTCTTGTTCCCATCGTACTGTAGCATTAGGTCGTACGCAAGCCCACGGGCCGTCTCTCGAATATTATCTGCGGGTTGAGATCAATTAGGGAATTGGGCCATCGTTTAGGTTTCGGCAGTAAATTACCTGCATTGTCAATGCGATAAGCAGCCTCTGCTGTCGCATATAGAATACTGGTCGCAATGATTACAAATGACAAAAACATGGTTGAAACGAATGGCGATAATGGATGCTGAGGAAGGGCAGGTAAACGCGAAAGCCTAAATGCATTGGACTTGGGAGAATGATCTTAGAAATTGGCACAAAGAAAAAACAGCCTCAAAGATTGAACGAATGACGCAGAAGGAAACAAAGGCTAAGCGATGGTATATTCAACGTCCTACCAGCAGACGAAGAAAGCACAACCAACCTGAGATGAACGAGGCGCCCAAGTAAGATGTGAGGTATTGATGCTTTATTTCCCTCTGAGAGACAGCCAGAACCGGAAAACTACAGCCCAGAAACCAGTGTGCGGAATATGCGCCCGATCTACTTATAACGGCTCAAGGAAAACCAACGACTGTGCGACTCCAAGTCTGTGGGTTTGCGCGGTGGCGCTTGGGCATCTTGGCTCACTGGCAATCAGTATAAGCAATGACATCGAGGAAAGTCATAGTAAATCTTGGCTGCGGCTGAGCAACTTCTCATTCTCTTGGCAAAGTTTGAAGATCGGGCGGCCGCCGGATGGCCCGCGACACTTGACAAAGAAACGCGATCCATGGTAGCGATTCCAAAATAACTGCATCTCTACCATCGACGCCATAATAGCGAGAGCGGCAATTATATGACTGCCATTAGGATTTCCACAACAAACAAAAAAATATGGCTCCGAAAAGAGGAATCCATCTTGTGATGGTGACGCTTGGGACAGAGGCTAGCCCCTGCTTAGGCGGATGAGCCAACGGATAGCGACAGGACAATTCCCGCCGGCAAATGGAACAAAAGTTTCGATCAAACCCGCAATCTCAAACAGCAAATAAAACAGCGGGACGCGTCATCCAACGGATGCGTTGACTTTGATTGGCTTTGGAGGCGCAGCATCGACACAACTGAAACCCTCACGCGGCTTGGCTGTGATGACTAGCGGCAGTCTAGCTTTTAAGGTTCTTTCTGAGCTTAAAGCAGATCCGGTGATCCGGGATTTTATAGGCGATTCGGCAGCTTGGGGCACGGAAAGGGGGTCAGGTGGGAATTTGAGCTATATAGTAGACAGATTCCAGTCCATCCAGAAGCGGCGGATGCTATTGGAAGAGGGTTAAATTGCATGTAAGACGGGTTGGATGGACTTGGCGCTGCAATGCGACTATGGCCGTGTGACACTGCTTGTCTGCCCTCGGACCATGCGGAGTAATGACGATACAACAAAGGTGTTAGTTCAGAAGGTATGATTAATATTCAAGTGCTTATAGATGGTTTCTTAATAATCAGGCTGGGCAACTTCAAGAGTTTGGATTCCATTGCACACGGACAGTTGGTGTTTCACTTCATAGCTGAGGCTCTTACACAGACTCCCTCTATAACCATGCGTTCAAAATTAGACCTGTGGGGAAGGTAATTCATACTTTCCGACCATCAGCACCACCTGCGAACATCGATTTCTGAGTTTAGAGAGAGCTGAGATATGAAGAATGCTAAAAATTTAGTGTTCAAGCCTCGTCTCCAATAACACGAGGAAGCCATCTACCCTATAAGTAAATCTTTTTTCTGTGGGCTCGATTTTAGACTCTCTTATCGGGTATATCTGTGTCTATGACTGACTACCTCTAGAATTCACCCAAAGCCACTCCTTAATACTTTGTACCAATGGTTCTGCATGGTTGAAGGAGACAACAAGCGAGAAAAAAATGAAGCTATCCTAACTCAATATTATTGCCAGCAGCAGAGTACACATTCTCACGTAGTTTACATGGCAATAGAGAGATTATCAAAATGGAACCCTGTTACCCATGTTTATGGTAGCCAGACATAATTATGATCTTTGGCATATCTTTGGCTGCTGGTTTTACGTTTGAGGGTATAGATAGCTATTATACTTATTCAATTTCATCAGTCATTTCCAATATCACATTCAACAGTCATCATTGTGGTTGTAAAAGCTTTACCACTCAAGTAGGTCATCATATCAGGAGACCAAATACTCCCTTTTTCCACGATTCGTATGGCCAATAGAAACTGCAGTAGGCTCTGAATACCGGTTACAGGTACTGTCTTTCAAGCGCTACTGAGGAGAATATATGAAATTCATTGCCAGAACCTCTTTAGATATTTATGAATACGCGTTGTTGGTCTTATCTTTGCACGAGAGCCGTAAGACATCGGATTCTGGCAACGAGACGCGAATGGAAAAATTAAAGTATCACCAGGTAAACTTTTCAAGCCTAGGGCCTTGCTGATTCTCCATAATTTAAGAAAAGAATAAAATTAGTTTCCACTAGAGGGTCAGAGGGAGGCTCGCCGCTCCGTCGTGTCGATTGGTAGTCATTCGAATTCTAGATGAGTTGATCATACCTTATAGACTAGTCCATGGTGTTTTGTAATTAAACGAGAGCGTTACAATAGATAAGAGATGCCACAAAATGGCTCTTCAAGACGGATACGGCGGCATCAAGTGTGATGAATACAAATATGATCTCTTCATCCGAGTGGAGTTGCAGCGGTTATAGTTTAGTACCTGAATAGGACCGTTTATGATTCTTAGGTTTCAATGTCTGCCTAAAGTGGAAGACTTGGGCCGGCCATCGTCAGCACCACACATGTGATTGATATCATAGTTTGCTATTAATTCCAAGATTTCGTCGCTGTCCGAGCTCCCCGAAAGCTCCACCTCGCGATATAAAGCTGCTACTGTCACGGCGTTACCTCGTATTGTGAGAGCATGCGTGACATGCGTGCTATGACAGTTTGATGAAGAAATGGTGTAGAACTCATCCGGGCTAGGCGGTATACGACTATATTGCATTGGTAAGTTTAATATCAGCTATTCCTGGCCTAAACTAAACACGACCTTGAAACATTAATCAATAATTACACATACTTCATCATACCTCATGTCTGCATTCGATAGCGTGACACTTGTGGCTAGATTCTATCCTTAGCTCTGATGAATTCCAGCCATGCTAAGGCTATTGAAGTGTGCAAAATGTCCTCGTTTGGCCGAGGTCGAGGTAGTGTTACA